AGAAGAATAGAATAGAGAATCGGCCGAGGCTTTGGAGGGATAGGGATCGAGAATTGAGAGGATAGAGAGAGATTAGGTTTTAGGAGATTATTTGATAATTCTTTCTTGATTGATTCTGAATAAAACGCAAAGTACATATTTATAACGAAAGACTGGAAAACCCTAATAATAAACCTAATTCTATTAAATGACTACTAACCTTAATAAGACTTACCCTAATAATAATGAAAATAATAAATATAGAAACCCTAGATAACTCGGTTTCTAACATCATGTTAGAAACCGATTTATGTAGGGTTTCTTTATTTATTAATATAATTATTATTAGGATAATTATCAATAAGGTTAGTAGTTATTTAGTAGGATTAGGTTTATTATTAGGGTTACCTAGTATTCCCTATAAATATGTACTTTGAGTCTACGTTATGATCAGTCAATAAAGAATTATCAAAGAATTCCCTAAACCCTAATCTCCCTATCTTCCCTATTCTCGATCTCAATCCCTCTAAAGGCCTAGGCCGATTCTCTTCTGTTCTTCCCCAATTCTTTCCCAAATCCCTAATTCTATCCTCTCAATCCCTAAATTCCCAAATATCACCCAATTCAAATCCCGTTAGAAACTTTGTTTCTAACATCTGGTATCAGAGCCCGGTTTCGATCGGTGAGTTCGTCTCAACTCTATCAGGGACAGCTGAGAAACCGGAGCATCGACATGGAAAAATCAGAGCAGTCATGGGCTAAGTTGCGAGAGGAGTTATGGCAAATCGCGAACTCCTGGAAGAGGGAGCCGGCGCGAGGCGCCGCGACAGAGAAGGAGGGCGCGCGGCTGGCGGCGCTCGCTGACGCCGACCGAGGCGACGGCGCGGGACGCGGCTCGTGCATCCGGGCGAGCGGGGTGGAAGGCGGCGGCTGGGACGGAGCGCCCGTGGCCGAGGCGCGCGCGACGGCACGCGAAGAAGAGGGCGGCTGCGGCTCTCTCTCTCTCCCGATTGAGGGCTAACCTCAATCGCAGTTGAAGAGGAATCCGCCGGAGATGGAGAAGGAGAGAGGCAGTGTTGAGCTTCCTCGGGCGTTGCAAGAGGTGGAGAGGAAGGAGTCATCGAAGGAGAAGCCGCTGGAGAAGAAGGAAGGAGCGAGCGGCGGGGAGTCTTCTATCGCGGCTACGGAGATGAAGGCATTACGGAAGGAGGAGACTAGTCGGGACGAGGCGGCGACAGGCCTGGCTGCGTCGCCAGAGCTGGAGAAGGAAGCGTCGAAGATGACGCGGGGCGTTGCCGGGATTTTTCGCCGGCGGTTCAGCTCGACGAACGAGGTAACAGAGAGGGAGAGATGCGCCGACGGCATCACCTCTCCGCGCGCTGCTCGAGAATCCGGCAAGGCAATCTGCCCGTCGGTCGCAAAGGGAGAAGAGGCGGCACGATCTTTGGCAGCTCAACTGGCGGCGACAGCTGTCGCATCGAACGGCGGGGAGAGGCAGCCTCGTCGCCGGGTGCGTTGGTCGGAGGAGCAGTTGACGGCGGAAGAGGAGGCATCGACGGCGGGCGGCGCGATGAGGAAGAGGAAGACGAAGAAGGATGGTGGCAGCTGTGTTTTCAAAAACCCTAGGCCTCCTGATTCGGATCGAGGGGCACGACAGCAGCAGTTCTTTCGATCGGGCCAAGCATGTTGGGCCTTTAGCTCGGATGTTTGGACCGCAAGCCCTAATCGACTGAGGAAATCGGGCCGAGTGATGGAGGACGGCGGCAGTCTTCTCGCAAACCCTAGGGTGCCATCCTTGGGTCGAGTAGTGCAGCAGCTGAACTCGTTGGGCTGGGCATGTTGTGAGGCGCCGCTAGTAAGGATGGGCCGACTTGGGCTCGTAAGAGGCTGGCCGGGCCCATGGTGCGAGTTGAGGGCAGAGCAGCAGAGCGGGCCAAAGGTGAAAGCGATTTGGGCCGAATGTTGGCCAAAAGAGTGGGCCTGCTGTGGGTCGGAAAGGTCAGGAGGGCAGGCCAAGATTTGGGATCAGTTGGGCCGATCAGATAAGCAAAATGGACCGAAATTAGAATCTCAATGGGCTGAACAGGGATTAAGTAATAGGCCTAGTCATGGAAGGCCTAGCGGGCCTCGAGGAGATGATGGGCTGTGTCATGAAAGGTCCGGTACTCAAATGGGTTGTTTAGTTGAATCTCTATTATATGGTGTGGGCTTGGAAGGAGAGAATGATGAATATGTGGGCTTGGTAAATGTGCTCTCAAGGAAGCATAAACCATCAGTATTTAAAGAAGCAACAAACCAAGGTTATGAGTCAGCTCCAACAAAGAAGTTCGAAGGCCTTGATGAGCTGGTACATAATGATGGGGACTTACACAAGAAAGTACTTTTTGATTCAATAAGTTGCTGGAGCGCGATGCTAATAAAGGAGGAATTATTGAAGTTTGAATACTTCGAGGACACGAGGATTGGGCCATCAGAATTGAAGCTTACAACTTTGCAGCGGCATCAGAAGGTCGAAGAAGAAAGGCCAAATCAAGGAGTTGAGCATGATTGGAAGAAAAGAAAGCGCAGGAAGGATGCGGATTACACGGAGAACGTGGCAGAGTGGGTCAAGTTGGTCAACCTTGAGGGCAAGGTTGGTCTGAAGGGGGAGGAGATGTTAGAAACCGATTTATGTAGGGTTTCTTTATTTATTAATATAATTATTATTAGGATAATTATCAATAAGGTTAGTAGTTATTTAGTAGGATTAGGTTTATTATTAGGGTTACCTAGTATTCCCTATAAATATGTACTTTGAGTCTACGTTATGATCAGTCAATAAAGAATTATCAAAGAATTCCCTAAACCCTAATCTCCCTATCTTCCCTATTCTCGATCTCAATCCCTCTAAAGGCCTAGGCCGATTCTCTTCTGTTCTTCCCCAATTCTTTCCCAAATCCCTAATTCTATCCTCTCAATCCCTAAATTCCCAAATATCACCCAATTCAAATCCCGTTAGAAACTTTGTTTCTAACATCAATCAAGAAAGAATTATCAAATAATCTCCTAAAATCTAATCTCTCTCTATCCTCTCAATTCTCGATCCCTATCCCTCCAAAGCCTCGGCCGATTCTCTATTCTATTCTTCTTCTTCCCCAAATCCCCAATCTCAATCCCTAATTCTATTCGTATAAACCCTAATCCCCAAATATCAAATCCGTTAGAAACTTTGTTTCTAACATATCCCAATTGTTTCTAACAGTTGTAGAATTGGGAAATTAGCTAGACCAACTAGGGATTGATCAAGCTAGGGATTAGAATTAGGGAATTTAGGAAGAAGAAAGGGGAAGGATGGCTGCCGATCGGCCAAAGAGAGAGGGAAAGAGAGAGGAAGTTCGGCGCTAGGGAGAGAGAGAGAGAGGGAGAAATTAGGATTTAGGTTTTCTGTAATTGATTGCTTAATGACAAAATAACTCCTACTGCAGATTATATAATCCGCCAAATACCTAACTGCTACCCATATAACGAAAATACCCCAAATGGTCCCCCAATTATCAAAACCGACAATAATACGAAATAATGAAAAGCTGTAAAGTGTTTGTTTCTAACGGGACCCCGCCTCCTTGGAAAACAACCTTGTCCTCAAGGTTGCGGCTTCTCTTGCTCTGCTCCGGGTTCCTCCACCATCTCATCCTCCGCCTCGTCTTCCCATCGTCCCACCAAGAACATCAAATCAGGCTTCCCGCACTTGTGACCAAAGGTAAACCGCTCGTCACAGTTGAAACACTTCCCTTCCCGCCTCTTCTGCTCGATCTCGGCCGGAGATAGCGTCCTAAATCCCTTGGGTGGTGGCCTCGGTCCCGTTCGAATGACAGCCGCAGGTGGGCCAGCCGCCGCACCCCCTCCCGAACTAGGCCCCGATGCAGCTCCACTCGTTCCCCCACTCGCGCTGCTACCACCGCCTCCTCCCCCGGCCGGCTTCTGGTAGCGGCCTATCACGCCCCGCCAACTAGCCAGCTCCTCCTCCTTATTACCTGCAAGACGGAAAACAGCTCGAAGTGAATCGGGCTCAAATACCCGCACAGCCGCTGCGATCTCTGGCCGGAGTCCCGCCATGCACAGACCCACCAATGTCTCCTCCGGTACGCCCTTGCACTGGTTACCCAGTTTAAAGAACTCTGCTCGATACTCCGCCACTGTCCCAGTCTGGCGCAGCTTCGCCAGCTGCTCCGGGGCCCACCCTTCCGACTTGCCAAACTGATACCTCAGCTCCTCCTTGAACATCGGCCAGGTAATCAGCGTTCGAGCTTCAGCATAGGTCCGCTCCATCCATTCCCACCACTGCAATGCATCCCCCTCTAAATAGAAGGACGCCAACTGAGCCTTCCGTTCCTCTCTAGTGGGATGGTTCTTGAACCACCGTTCTGCGGAGTATAGCCACAGACCTGCATCCTCCCTGCCATTGAATTTTGGGAACTCAATGGTTGGGGGCTTAGCTCGAAACACCATGTCATCTTCCTCCTCACCACCTCGGGAGTAACCAGCGTGCCTCCCATACCCCGGCGCCTCGCGGTGATAATGCTGCGAGTACCGGTGTCCCCCTTCATACTCCCACTCTCCTTCCTCCTCCTCTTGATGTCCCCGTCCTCGGCCCATCTCATTTCTCTGCCTCTGATCACCCGTTCCTGATCCCATGAATTCCCTACCAGTGCCGTGCTGATTCACAAACGGCGGTTGATTGCCACTAGGCTCGTCAAACTGACCTTGGCGAGCCGGAAAGCCCCTGCTGCCCGTTCCCCCTTGGCGCGCCAGCTGCTGCCCTGGTTCGGTCCTGGTCCGACCGGGTTCGGTCCGACCGGGTTCGACCCGACCGGTTTCGACCCGATCGCTTGGGCCCTGCTCGACCCCGCCCGGCCCGCATACTCAGCCCGGCCCGCGGGTCCCCGGCCCATGGAGCTCGGCCGACCCACCTCCCAGCCGCGGTCCGCTTCTCGCCGCTTCCCACCTGGCCCGCCTTCCGTCCCAGCTCGGCCCATATGGCTTCCTTCATCCCTGTTATAATCCTCCCCGGGCCCATTCGGCTCATTGGGCCACGGCTCATGATCATACTCCTGCTCCAAGCCCATCAACTCTTCTTCATCCAAGCCCACGTACTCTGCCATCTTGGCCTTGCCCCGCGCGCGCGCCTTCTCCTGGGCCGAGGGAGTCGGAAGCAGCCCATCTTTGATGGTTGGGCCAAAGGAGACCTGGCCCGCACGCAACCCCAGCCGGTTAGGGTTGGCCGCCGCGCCGCCCTTCTCTCCTCGCCCCTCCGCCGCCGTGTTCGCCGAGGCCCGCGCGGCGCCGTGGTCGCCGGCCGCCTCCACCGACATCGACCCCTCCCCTGGCGCGCCGTCCTCCCCGTGCAACTGGCCGCCGCCGCCAGCTTCGATCCCTGATTTCTTCAGGGCCGCCACCAAGTCACCCACCTGTCCCGCCAGTGCCTTCACAGCTCCTGTCAGAGCATCAAGGGTTTGGCCTTGCTCCCTAGCCCTCTCCTGCAGTTCTCCCAACTCTTCCTCCACCCGCGCCTGTCTCCTCGCCTGCGCCTCCAGATCCCTCCTCAACTCCTCATTGCCGGTCAGATCCTCCACAGCCCCATCGACCCCGTCGTCACCTGCATCGGCGCCCTTGTCACCCGCCTGATTCGCCTTCTCCGCTTTCTCTGCTGCCTTCATGGATTTCGTCGTTACCATCGTTGGTTCTCCGGTTTCTAAGCTGTCCCTGACGGAGTTGGGAAGAACTCTCCGATCGGAACCGGGCTCTGATACCGAGATGTTAGAAACAAGGTTTCTAACAGTTGTAGAATTGGGAAATTAGCTAGACCAACTAGCGATTGATCAAGCTAGGGATTAGAATTAGGGAATTTAGGAAGAAGAAAGGGGAAGGATGGCTGCCGATCGGCCAAAGAGAGAGGGAAAGAGAGAGGAAGTTCGGCGCTAGGGAGAGAGAGAGAGAGGGAGAAATTAGGATTTAGGTTTTCTGTAATTGATTGCTTAATGACAAAATAACTCCTACTGCAGATTATATAATCCGCCAAATACCTAACTGCTACCCATATAACGAAAATACCCCAAATGGTCCCCCAATTATCAAAACCGACAATAATACGAAATAATGAAAAGCTGTAAAGTGTTTGTTTCTAACATCCCCGCCTCCTTGGAAAACAACCTTGTCCTCAAGGTTGCGGCTTCTCTTGCTCTGCTCCGGGTTCCTCCACCATCTCATCCTCCGCCTCGTCTTCCCATCGTCCCACCAAGAACATCAAATCAGGCTTCCCGCACTTGTGACCAAAGGTAAACCGCTCGTCACAGTTGAAACACTTCCCTTCCCGCCTCTTCTGCTCGATCTCGGCCGGAGATAGCATCCTAAATCCCTTGGGTGGTGGCCTCGGTCCCGTTCGAATGACAGCCGCAGGTGGGCCAGCCGCCGCACCCCCTCCCGAACTAGGCCCCGATGCAGCTCCACTCGTTCCCCCACTCGCGCTGCTACCACCGCCTCCTCCCCCGGCCGGCTTCTGGTAGCGGCCTATCACGCCCCGCCAACTAGCCAGCTCCTCCTCCTTATTACCTGCAAGACGGAAAACAGCTCGAAGTGAATCGGGCTCAAATACCCGCACAGCCGCTGCGATCTCTGGCCGGAGTCCCGCCATGCACAGACCCACCAATGTCTCCTCCGGTACGCCCTTGCACTGGTTACCCAGTTTAAAGAACTCTGCTCGATACTCCGCCACTGTCCCAGTCTGGCGCAGCTTCGCCAGCTGCTCCGGGGCCCACCCTTCCGACTTGCCAAACTGATACCTCAGCTCCTCCTTGAACATCGGCCAGGTAATCAGCGTTCGAGCTTCAGCATAGGTCCACTCCATCCATTCCCACCACTGCAATGCATCCCCCTCTAAATAGAAGGACGCCAACTGAGCCTTCCGTTCCTCTCTAGTGGGATGGTTCTTGAACCACCGTTCTGCGGAGTATAGCCACAGACCTGCATCCTCCCTGCCATTGAATTTTGGGAACTCAATGGTTGGGGGCTTAGCTCGAAACACCATGTCATCTTCCTCCTCACCACCTCGGGAGTAACCAGCGTGCCTCCCATACCCCGGCGCCTCGCGGTGATAATGCTGCGAGTACCGGTGTCCCCCTTCATACTCCCACTCTCCTTCCTCCTCCTCTTGATGTCCCCGTCCTCGGCCCATCTCATTTCTCTGCCTCTGATCACCCGTTCCTGATCCCATGAATTCCCTACCAGTGCCGTGCTGATTCACAAACGGCGGTTGATTGCCACTAGGCTCGTCAAACTGACCTTGGCGAGCCGGAAAGCCCCTGCTGCCCGTTCCCCCTTGGCGCCAGCTGCTGCCCTGGTTCGGTCCTGGTCCGACCGGGTTCGGTCCGACCGGGTTCGACCCGACCGGTTTCGACCCGACCGCTTGGGCCCCTGCTCGACCCCGCCCGGCCCGCATACTCAGCCCGGCCCGCGGGTCCCCGGCCCATGGAGCTCGGCCGACCCACCTCCCAGCCGCGGTCCGCTTCTCGCCGCTTCCCACCTGGCCCGCCTTCCGTCCCAGCTCGGCCCATATGGCTTCCTTCATCCCTGTTATAATCCTCCCCGGGCCCATTCGGCTCATTGGGCCACGGCTCATGATCATACTCCTGCTCCAAGCCCATCAACTCTTCTTCATCCAAGCCCACGTACTCTGCCATCTTGGCCTTGCCCCGCGCGCGCGCCTTCTCCTGGGCCGAGGGAGTCGGAAGCAGCCCATCTTTGATGGTTGGGCCAAAGGAGACCTGGCCCGCACGCAACCCCAGCCGGTTAGGGTTGGCCGCCGCGCCGCCCTTCTCTCCTCGCCCCTCCGCCGCCGTGTTCGCCGAGGCCCGCGCGGCGCCGTGGTCGCCGGCCGCCTCCACCGACATCGACCCCTCCCCTGGCGCGCCGTCCTCCCCGTGCAACTGGCCGCCGCCGCCAGCTTCGATCCCTGATTTCTTCAGGGCCGCCACCAAGTCACCCACCTGTCCCGCCAGTGCCTTCACAGCTCCTGTCAGAGCATCAAGGGTTTGGCCTTGCTCCCTAGCCCTCTCCTGCAGTTCTCCCAACTCTTCCTCCACCCGCGCCTGTCTCCTCGCCTGCGCCTCCAGATCCCTCCTCAACTCCTCATTGCCGGTCAGATCCTCCACAGCCCCATCGACCCCGTCGTCACCTGCATCGGCGCCCTTGTCACCCGCCTGATTCGCCTTCTCCGCTTTCTCTGCTGCCTTCATGGATTTCGTCGTTACCATCGTTGGTTCTCCGGTTTCTAAGCTGTCCCTGACGGAGTTGGGAAGAACTCTCCGATCGGAACCGGGCTCTGATACCGAGATGTTAGAAACAAGGTTTCTAACAGTTGTAGAATTGGGAAATTAGCTAGACCAACTAGCGATTGATCAAGCTAGGGATTAGAATTAGGGAATTTAGGAAGAAGAAAGGGGAAGGATGGCTGCCGATCGGCCAAAGAGAGAGGGAAAGAGAGAGGAAGTTCGGCGCTAGGGAGAGAGAGAGAGAGGGAGAAATTAGGATTTAGGTTTTCTGTAATTGATTGCTTAATGACAAAATAACTCCTACTGCAGATTATATAATCCGCCAAATACCTAACTGCTACCCATATAACGAAAATACCCCAAATGGTCCCCCAATTATCAAAACCGACAATAATACGAAATAATGAAAAGCTGTAAAGTGTTTGTTTCTAACATCCCCGCCTCCTTGGAAAACAACCTTGTCCTCAAGGTTGCGGCTTCTCTTGCTCTGCTCCGGGTTCCTCCACCATCTCATCCTCCGCCTCGTCTTCCCATCGTCCCACCAAGAACATCAAATCAGGCTTCCCGCACTTGTGACCAAAGGTAAACCGCTCGTCACAGTTGAAACACTTCCCTTCCCGCCTCTTCTGCTCGATCTCGGCCGGAGATAGCGTCCTAAATCCCTTGGGTGGTGGCCTCGGTCCCGTTCGAATGACAGCCGCAGGTGGGCCAGCCGCCGCACCCCCTCCCGAACTAGGCCCCGATGCAGCTCCACTCGTTCCCCCACTCGCGCTGCTACCACCGCCTCCTCCCCCGGCCGGCTTCTGGTAGCGGCCTATCACGCCCCGCCAACTAGCCAGCTCCTCCTCCTTATTACCTGCAAGACTATTAACAGCTCGAAGTGAATCGGGCTCAAATACCCGCACAGCCGCTGCGATCTCTGGCCGGAGTCCCGCCATGCACAGACCCACCAATGTCTCCTCCGGTACGCCCTTGCACTGGTTACCCAGTTTAAAGAACTCTGCTCGATACTCCGCCACTGTCCCAGTCTGGCGCAGCTTCGCCAGCTGCTCCGGGGCCCACCCTTCCGACTTGCCAAACTGATACCTCAGCTCCTCCTTGAACATCGGCCAGGTAATCAGCGTTCGAGCTTCAGCATAGGTCCGCTCCATCCATTCCCACCACTGCAATGCATCCCCCTCTAAATAGAAGGACGCCAACTGAGCCTTCCGTTCCTCTCTAGTGGGATGGTTCTTGAACCACCGTTCTGCGGAGTATAGCCACAGACCTGCATCCTCCCTGCCATTGAATTTTGGGAACTCAATGGTTGGGGGCTTAGCTCGAAACACCATGTCATCTTCCTCCTCACCACCTCGGGAGTAACCAGCGTGCCTCCCATACCCCGGCGCCTCGCGGTGATAATGCTGCGAGTACCGGTGTCCCCCTTCATACTCCCACTCTCCTTCCTCCTCCTCTTGATGTCCCCGTCCTCGGCCCATCTCATTTCTCTGCCTCTGATCACCCGTTCCTGATCCCATGAATTCCCTACCAGTGCCGTGCTGATTCACAAACGGCGGTTGATTGCCACTAGGCTCGTCAAACTGACCTTGGCGAGCCGGAAAGCCCCTGCTGCCCGTTCCCCCTTGGCGCGCCAGCTGCTGTCCTGGTCCGACCGGGTTCGGTCCGACCGGGTTCGACCCGACCGGTTTCGACCCGACCGCTTGGGCCCCTGCTCGACCCCGCCCGGCCCGCATACTCGGCCCGGCCCGCGGGTCCCCGGCCCATGGAGCTCGGCCGACCCACCTCCCAGCCGCGGTCCGCTTCTCGCCGCTTCCCACCTGGCCCGCCTTCCGTCCCAGCTCGGCCCATATGGCTTCCTTCATCCCTGTTATAATCCTCCCCGGGCCCATTCGGCTCATTGGGCCACGGCTCATGATCATACTCCTGCTCCAAGCCCATCAACTCTTCTTCATCCAAGCCCACGTACTCTGCCATCTTGGCCTTGCCCCGCGCGCGCGCCTTCTCCTGGGCCGAGGGAGTCGGAAGCAGCCCATCTTTGATGGTTGGGCCAAAGGAGACCTGGCCCGCACGCAACCCCAGCCGGTTAGGGTTGGCCGCCGCGCCGCCCTTCTCTCCTCGCCCCTCCGCCGCCGTGTTCGCCGAGGCCCGCGCGGCGCCGTGGTCGCCGGCCGCCTCCACCGACATCGACCCCTCCCCTGGCGCGCCGTCCTCCCCGTGCAACTGGCCGCCGCCGCCAGCTTTGATCCCTGATTTCTTCAGGGCCGCCACCAAGTCACCCACCTGTCCCGCCAGTGCCTTCACAGCTCCTGTCAGAGCATCAAGGGTTTGGCCTTGCTCCCTAGCCCTCTCCTGCAGTTCTCCCAACTCTTCCTCCACCCGCGCCTGTCTCCTCGCCTGCGCCTCCAGATCCCTCCTCAACTCCTCATTGCCGGTCAGATCCTCCACAGCCCCATCGACCCCGTCGTCACCTGCATCGGCGCCCTTGTCACCCGCCTGATTCGCCTTCTCTGCTTTCTCTGCTGCCTTCATGGATTTCGTCGTTACCATCGTTGGTTCTCCGGTTTCTAAGCTGTCCCTGACGGAGTTGGGAAGAACTCTCCGATCGGAACCGGGCTCTGATACCAGATGTTAGAAACAAGGTTTCTAACAGTTGTAGAATTGGGAAATTAGCTAGACCAACTAGGGATTGATCAAGCTAGGGATTAGAATTAGGGAATTTAGGAAGAAGAAAGGGGAAGGATGGCTGCCGATCGGCCAAAGAGAGAGGGAAAGAGAGAGGAAGTTCGGCGCTAGGGAGAGAGAGAGAGAGGGAGAAATTAGGATTTAGGTTTTCTGTAATTGATTGCTTAATGACAAAATAACTCCTACTGCAGATTATATAATCCGCCAAATACCTAACTGCTACCCATATAACGAAAATACCCCAAATGGTCCCCCAATTATCAAAACCGACAATAATACGAAATAATGAAAAGCTGTAAAGTGTTTGTTTCTAACATCAGAAGTTCCACAAGGGAATTAGGGATTGAGAAGAGAAGAAATTAGGGATTTGAGAAGAATTGGGGAAGAACAAGAGATAGAGAGAATTGGGAATTAGGGATTTTGATTGATAATATTCGTAATTGACTACTCTGCAGAATAGTGTTCTCTCCTCTTAAATACAAAAGCTGAATAATGAAAATAACGAAACTGCCACTCCCTCACCCAACCGGCCCAACCCGCCGGTTTCTAACATCCTCCCCCTCTTCAAGTCTGACCTTGTCCTCAAGGTCAAAGTACGGAAACTTCTGCTGCAATTCGCCCGACTCCTCCCAAGTCGCGTCCTCCGGCTCCAAATGCCTCCAAAGCACTAAGCTTTCCTCCACCAGTCGACCCTTCTTCTTCACCCACCTGGTCTCGAGCACCTTCAGCGGCTGCAGCTCAAGATCACCATCTGCACTGACCGGCGGAGCTGTCGTCTCAACTCTGTCTGCTGCTCCCCTGTAACGTTTCAACAATGAAACATGGAAGGTAGGATGAATGCGAGACTCTGCCGGCAGCTGCAAACGATAGGCCACTGGATTGACCTTCTGCAGAATCTCGTAGGGCCCGAAATAACGAGCCGCCAGCTTCTGATAGGCGCGCCTGAAGACCGAGGCCTGTCGATAGGGATGCAGTCTCAACAGCACCCGATCGCCCACCTCAAACTCCTCCTCCCGCCTACCCGCATCCTCTAACTGCTTCATCCTGTTATTGGCTGCCGCCAACGTACTCCGCAGCTGCTCAAGCGCCTCATCCCTCGCCCCCAGCCACCTGTCCACAGCATCCACCGAACTATCACCCATCCTGTATCGCACCAGAGACGGCGGAGCTCGCCCGTATAGAGCCTAGAAAGGAGTCATCCGAATAGCCCTGTGATAGGTGGTGTTATACCACAACTCAGCCCATGGAATCATGGCCAACCAGCTCTTGGGCTGCTGGTGGGCAAAACACCTGAGATACTGCTCCAGATGTTTGTTCACGATCTCCGTCTGGCCATCCGTCTGCGGGTGATAGGCCGAACTCATCTTCAGCGCGGTCTTGGCCATAGCAAAGACCTCCTGCCAGAAGTGACTCAAGAAGACTGAATCCCGATCACTCACAATAGATCGAGGAAATCCGTGATGCCGCACCACTCCTGATACAAACTGCTCAGCCACTGCCTTTGCCGTGTACGGGTGAGCCAAAGGCATGAAGTGAGCATACTTCGTCAGGCGATCCACCACCACGAACAACACCGTCTTGCCACCTGAGGGAGGAAGTCCCACTATAAAATCCATGCTGATGTCTTCCCAAACCCGCTCCGGCACCGGTAATGGCTGCAACAACCCTGCAGGTCTGAGATGAGATAACTTCACCCTCTGACAGGTGTCACAGGACGCTACATAGCTCTTCACGTCGTCCGCCATGCGAGGCCAATAGAAATGAGCCCGAATCCGCCGTAGGGTCCGCTCCACGCCCGAATGACCCCCCAGCGGCGAGTCATGAAACTCCATCAGCACAGTCGTGACCAGGTTTGACCCCGGCGGAAGGACCACCCGGCCCTTGAAAAGGACCAGCCCCTGTCGGAACTGGTAGCGACCCGGCTCGTCGCTCACAGCAATGTCCCGGCAGCTCTGCAGATAAGAACTGGTCTCCAAAGATGTACGGAGCTCATCCCAAAACTCCGGCACCGGCCCGGTCACTGCCATGAGAACCTCCCCACCCGGACGCCTGGATAGGCCGTCGGCCACCACATTGGTGGGTCCTGGTCTGTAATGAATCTCGTAGTCATACCCCAGTAGCTTCGCAATCCACTTATGCTGGTCCGGCGTCGACACCCTCTGCTCTAGGAGATGCTTCAGACTCTGATGATCTGTATAGATGTGAAACTTCTGGCCCAGCAAATATGGTCTCCACATCTGTACTGCTGTGATAATAGCCTGCATCTCCTTCTGATATGTCGACCAGGCCTCCTTCGAAGGAGGTAGTGTCTTGCTCATGAAAGCAATGGGATGTCGATCCTGAGACAGTACTGCCCCAATACCGCGGCCAGACGCGTCGGCCTCAATCACGAACGTCTTCGAGAAATCCGGCATGGCCAAGGTGGGGGTTGTGGACATCGCCTGCTTCAGCTTCTGGAACGCCTCCTCTGCCTGTGGTGACCAACCAAACCCCCCCTTCTTCAGCAAGTCCGTCAGAGGCCTCGCGATCATACTGTATCCCTGCACGAACTTCCGGTAATACCCGGTCAATCCCAGGAAGCCACGCAACTCGGTCACATTGGTGGGCACGGGCCAGTCCACCATGGCTCGAATCTTGGCCTGGTCCACCTGCACTCCCTGAGGCGTCACTACATGACCCAGGTAATCCACCTTCTGCACCCCAAACTCACACTTGGAGGCCTTGACATAGTACTGGTGCCTCCGAAGAATCTCAAACACCTCCTGCAGATGTCTCAAATGGTCCTCCCAAGTAGGACTATAAACCAGTATATCATCAAAAAATACCAAGACATACCGTCTCAGGAGAGGTCGAAAAATGTCGTTCATGGCAGCCTGGAATGTCGAAGGAGCATTGCACAGCCCAAATGGCATGACCAAATACTCATAATGGCCATTATGAGTGCGAAATGCGGTTTTGGGCACATCCTCCTCCTGCATCCTGATCTGATGGTAACCGGCTCTCAAGTCGAGCTTAGTGAAATAGCTCGACCCATGCAGTTCATCTAGCATGTCATCCACTGTCGGGATCGGGAACCGATCCTTCACGGTCGCCTTGTTGAGAGCCCGGTAATCTGTGCAGAATCTCCAAGTCCCATCCTTCTTCTTAACCAGCAACACCGGCGAAGAAAAAGGACTGGTGCTAGGCCGGATCAGTCCGGTCGCGAGCATCTCCTCTACCTGCTTCTCGATCTCCCCCTTCTGTGAGTGCCCATAGCGGTATGGCCTCACATTCACTGCTTCCACTCCCTCCTTCAGACAAATCTGGTGGTCCACCTGCCTATGAGGCGGCAGAGTGGTCGGCGCCCGGAACAGTTCCGGATACCGGTCCAACAGCTCCTGCATCTCTCCATCAACCTCCGCCTTCCCTGCTGCAGCTAGAGGCCAGCATAGAACAGCGAGCTCGGTGTCCTCCCCCTTCGCGCACTCCTCCATCTCAATCGGCCCAATGGCGGTGGTCAAGCCTCTCAGACTCCATTCCTTATCCCTCCACTTGAAGCACATCGTCAGCCTTCGCCAATCACTGGTAATCGGTCCTAGGCTCTGCAGCCAAGGTATGCCGAGGATAATGTCGAACCCGGGCAAAGGCAGTACATAGAGGTCGGTGACGATCTCGAGGCCTTGAATCTCCAATGCCAAATCCCTGTACACCTCGACGCACCGCATCGGCGCCCCATTAGCCACTCGGACCACCATCGATTGCGTTGGACTCGCCGCCACCCGAAGGGTTTTGGCGAATTCCTCCCCAATGAAATTCAGCGACGCTCCACTGTCGACAAGAACGAGGCCCTGCTGCCCGGCGACCTTGGCTCGGAACCGCAGGGTACCGGGCGACGAGACCCCCGCTACGGAGTGCAGGGAGATCTCCGCCGGCCCCCTCTCTTCCTCGCGCCCCCTTCCCACGTCGCCGCTGCTCTTCCCTCCGCGCGCCGTCACGCGCTCCTCGGCCGCGGGCCTGCCCCCCGCACCGCCGCCTTCCGCCCCGCTCGCCCTGCCGCGCAAGTCGCGCCCCGCGCCGACGCCGCGGTCAGCGCCCTCGCGCGCCGCCAGCCGCGCGCCCTCCACCTCTGCCTCGGCGCCTCGCGCCGGCTCCCCCTTCCAGGAGTTTGCGATTTGCCACAACTCCTCTCGCAATTGAGCCCATGCCTGCGCTGACCTTTCCATGTCGATGCTCCGGTTTCTCAGCTGTCCCTGATAGAGTTGAGACGAACTCACCGATCGAAACCGGGCTCTGATACCAGATGTTAGAAACAAAGAAGTTCCACAAGGGAATTAGGGATTGAGAAGAGAAGAAATTAGGGATTTGAGAAGAATTGGGGAAGAACAAGAGATAGAGAGAATTGGGAATTAGGGATTTTGATTGATAATATTCGTAATTGACTACTCTGCAGAATAGTGTTCTCTCCTCTTAAATACAAAAGCTGAATAATGAAAATAACGAAACTGCCACTCCCTCACCCAACCGGCCCAACCCGCCGGTTTCTAACATCCTCCCCCTCTTCAAGTCTGACCTTGTCCTCAAGGTCAAAGTACGGAAACTTCTGCTGCAATTCGCCCGACTCCTCCCAAGTCGCGTCCTCCGGCTCCAAATGCCTCCAAAGCACTAAGCTTTCCTCCACCAGTCGACCCTTCTTCTTCACCCACCTGGTCTCGAGCACCTTCAGCGGCTGCAGCTCAAGATCACCATCTGCACTGACCGGCGGAGCTGTCGTCTCAACTCTGTCTGCTGCTCCCCTGTAACGTTTCAACAATGAAACATGGAAGGTAGGATGAATGCGAGACTCTGCCGGCAGCTGCAAACGATAGGCCACTGGATTGACCTTCTGCAGAATCTCGTAGGGCCCGAAATAACGAGCCGCCAGCTTCTGATAGGCGCGCCTGAAGACCGAGGCCTGTCGATAGGGATGCAGTCTCAACAGCACCCGATCGCCCACCTCAAACTCCTCCTCCCGCCTACCCGCATCCTCTAACTGCTTCATCCTGTTATTGGCTGCCGCCAACGTACTCCGCAGCTGCTCAAGCGCCTCATCCCTCGCCCCCAGCCACCTGTCCACAGCATCCACCGAACTATCACCCATCCTGTATCGCACCAGAGACGGCGGAGCTCGCCCGTATAGAGCCTAGAAAGGAGTCATCCGAATAGCCCTGTGATAGGTGGTGTTATACCACAACTCAGCCCATGGAATCATGGCCAACCAGCTCTTGGGCTGCTGGTGGGCAAAACACCTGAGATACTGCTCCAGATGTTTGTTCACGATCTCCGTCTGGCCATCCGTCTGCGGGTGATAGGCCGAACTCATCTTCAGCGCGGTCTTGGCCATAGCAAAGACCTCCTGCCAGAAGTGACTCAAGAAGACTGAATCCCGATCACTCACAATAGATCGAGGAAATCCGTGATGCCGCACCACTCCTGATACAAACTGCTCAGCCACTGCCTTTGCCGTGTACGGGTGAGCCAAAGGCATGAAGTGAGCATACTTCGTCAGGCGATCCACCACCACGAACAACACCGTCTTGCCACCTGAGGGAGGAAGTCCCACTATAAAATCCATGCTGATGTCTTCCCAAACCCGCTCCGGCACCGGTAATGGCTGCAACAACCCTGCAGGTCTGAGATGAGATAACTTCACCCTCTGACAGGTGTCACAGGACGCTACATAGCTCTTCACGTCGTCCGCCATGCGAGGCCAATAGAAATGAGCCCGAATCCGCCGTAGGGTCCGCTCCACGCCCGAATGACCCCCCAGCGGCGAGTCATGAAACTCCATCAGCACAGTCGTGACCAGGTTTGACCCCGGCGGAAGGACCACCCGGCCCTTGAAAAGGACCAGCCCCTGTCGGAACTGGTAGCGACCCGGCTCGTCGCTCACAGCAATGTCCCGGCAGCTCTGCAGATAAGAACTGGTCTCCAAAGATGTACGGAGCTCATCCCAAAACTCCGGCACCGGCCCGGTCACTGCCATGAGAACCTCCCCACCCGGACGCCTGGATAGGCCGTCGGCCACCACATTGGTGGGTCCTGGTCTATAATGAATCTCGTAGTCATACCCCAGTAGCTTCGCAATCCACTTATGCTGGTCCGGCGTCGACACCCTCTGCTCTAGGAGATGCTTCAGACTCTGATGATCTGTATAGATGTGAAACTTCTGGCCCAGCAAATATGGTCTCCACATCTGTACTGCTGTGATAATAGCCTGCATCTCCTTCTGATATGTCGACCAGGCCTCCTTCGAAGGAGGTAGTGTCTTGCTCATGAAAGCAATGGGATGTCGATCCTGAGACAGTACTGCCCCAATACCGCGGCCAGACGCGTCGGCCTCAATCACGAACGTCTTCGAGAAATCCGGCATGGCCAAGGTGGGGGTTGTGGACATCGCCTGCTTCAGCTTCTGGAACGCCTCCTCTGCCTGTGGTGACCAACCAAACCCCCCCTTCTTCAGCAAGTCCGTCAGAGGCCTCGCGATCATACTGTATCCCTGCACGAACTTCCGGTAATACCCGGTCAATCCCAGGAAGCCACGCAACTCGGTCACATTGGTGGGCACGGGCCAGTCCACCATGGCTCGAATCTTGGCCTGGTCCACCTGCACTCCCTGAGGCGTCACTACATGACCCAGGTAATCCACCTTCTGCACCCCAAACTCACACTTGGAGGCCTTGACATAGTACTGGTGCCTCCGAAGAATCTCAAACACCTCCTGCGGATGTCTCAAATGGTCCTCCCAAGTAGGACTATAAACCAGTATATCATCAAAAAATACCAAGACATACCGTCTCAGGAGAGGTCGAAAAATGTCGTTCATGGCAGCCTGGAATGTCGAAGGAGCATTGCACAGCCCAAATGGCATGACCAAATACTCATAATGGCCATTATGAGTGCGAAATGCGGTTTTGGGCACATCCTCCTCCTGCATCCTGATCTGATGGTAACCGGCTCTCAAGTCGAGCTTAGTGAAATAGCTCGACCCATGCAGTTCATCTAGCATGTCATCCACTGTCGGGATCGGGAACCGATCCTTCACGGTCGCCTTGTTGAGAGCCCGGTAATCTGTGCAGAATCTCCAAGTCCCATCCTTCTTCTTAACCAGCAACACCGGCGAAGAAAAAGGACTGGTGCTAGGCCGGATCAGTCCGGTCGCGAGCATCTCCTCTACCTGCTTCTCGATCTCCCCCTTCTGTGAGTGCCCATAGCGGTATGGCCTCACATTCACTGCTTCCACTCCCTCCTTCAGACAAATCTGGTGGTCCACCTGCCTATGAGGCGGCAGAGTGGTCGGCGCCCGGAACAGTTCCGGATACCGGTCCAACAGCTCCTGCATCTCTCCATCAACCTCCGCCTTCCCTGCTGCAGCTAGAGGCCAGCATAGAACAGCGAGCTCGGTGTCCTCCCCCTTCGCGCACTCCTCCATCTCAATCGGCCCAATGGCGGTGGTCAAGCCTCTCAGACTCCATTCCTTATCCCTCCACTTGAAGCACATCGTCAGCCTTCGCCAATCACTGGTAATCGGTCCTAGGCTCTGCAGCCAAGGTATGCCGAGGATAATGTCGAACCCGCGCAAAGGCAGTACATAGAGGTCGGTGACGATCTCGAGGCCTTGAATCTCCAATGCCAAATCCCTGTACACCTCGACGCACCGCATCGGCGCCCCATTAGCCACTCGGACCACCATCGATTGCGTTGGACTCGCCGCCACCCGAAGGGTTTTGGCGAATTCCTCCCCAATGAAATTCAGCGACGCTCCACTGTCGACAAGAACGAGGCCCTGCTGCCCGGCGACCTTGGCTCGGAACCGCAGGGTACCGGGCGACGAGACCCCCGCTACGGAGTGCAGGGAGATCTCCGCCGGCCCCCTCTCTTCCTCGCGCCCCCTTCCCACGTCGCCGCTGCTCTTCCCTCCGCGCGCCGTCACGCGCTCCCCGGCAACGGCGCCACCAGATGTTAGAAACAAGGTTTCTAACAGTTGTAGAATTGGGAAATTAGCTAGACCAACTAGGGATTGATCAAGCTAGGGATTAGAATTAGGGAATTTAGGAAGAAGAAAGGGGAAGGATGGCTGCCGATCGGCCAAAGAGAGAGGGAAAGAGAGAGGAAGTTCGGCGCTAGGGAGAGAGAGAGAGAGGGAGAAATTAGGATTTAGGTTTTCTGTAATTGATTGCTTAATGACAAAATAACTACTACTGCAGATTATATAATCCGCCAAATACCTAACTGCTACCCATATAACGAAAATACCCCAAATGGTCCCCCAATTATCAAAACCGACAATAATATGAAATAATGAAAAGCTGTAAAGTGTTTGTTTCTAACATCCCCGCCTCCTTGGAAAACAACCTTGTCCTCAAGGTTGCGGCTTCTCTTGCTCTGCTCCGGGTTCCTCCACCATCTCATCCTCCGCCTCGTCTTCCTTTCGTCCCACCAAGAACATCAAATCAGGCTTCCCGCACTTGTGACCAAAGGTAAACCGCTCGTCACAGTTGAAACACTTCCCTTCCCGCCTCTTCTGCTCGATCTCGGCCGGAGATAGCGTCCTAAATCCCTTGGGTGGTGGCCTCGGTCCCGTTCGAATGACAGCCGCAGGTGGGCCAGCCGCCGCACCCCCTCCCGAACTAGGCCCCGATGCAGCTCCACTCGTTCCCCCACTCGCGCTGCTACCACCGCCTCCTCCCCCGGCCGGCTTCTGGTAGCGGCCTATCACGCCCCGCCAACTAGCCAGCTCCTCCTCCTTATTACCTGCAAGACGGAAAACAGCTCGAAGTGAATCGGGCTCAAATACCCGCACAGCCGCTGCGATCTCTGGCCGGAGTCCCGCCATGCACAGACCCACCAATGTCTCCTCCGGTACGCCCTTGCACTGGTTACCCAGTTTAAAGAACTCTGCTCGATACTCCGCCACTGTCCCAGTCTGGCGCAGCTTCGCCAGCTGCTCCGGGGCCCACCCTTCCGACTTGCCAAACTGATACCTCAGCTCCTCCTTGAACATCGGCCAGGTAATCAGCGTTCGAGCTTCAGCATAGGTCCGCTCCATCCATTCCCACCACTGCAATGCATCCCCCTCTAAATAGAAGGACGCCAACTGAGCCTTCCGTTCCTCTCTAGTGGGATGGTTCTTGAACCACCGTTCTGCGGAGTATAGCCACAGACCTGCATCCTCCCTGCCATTGAATTTTGGGAACTCAATGGTTGGGGGCTTAGCTCGAAACACCATGTCATCTTCCTCCTCACCACCTCGGGAGTAACCAGCGTGCCTCCCATACCCCGGCGCCTCGCGGTGATAATGCTGCGAGTACCGGTGTCCCCCTTCATACTCCCACTCTCCTTCCTCCTCCTCTTGATGTCCCCGTCCTCGGCCCATCTCATTTCTCTGCCTCTGATCACCCGTTCCTGATCCCATGAATTCCCTACCAGTGCCGTGCTGATTCACAAACGGCGGTTGATTGCCACTAGGCTCGTCAAACTGACCTTGGCGAGCCGGAAAGCCCCTGCTGCCCGTTCCCCCTTGGCGCGCCAGCTGCTGCCCTGGTTCGGTGCTGGTCCGACCGGGTTCGGTCCGACCGGGTTCGGTCCGACCGGGTTCGGTCCGACCGGGTTCGGTCCGACCGGGTTCGACCCGACCGCTTGGGCCCCTGCTCGACCCCGCCCGGCCCGCATACTCGGCCCGGCCCGCGGGTCCCCGGCCCATGGAGCTCGGCCGACCCACCTCCCAGCCGCGGTCCGCTTCTCGCCGCTTCCCACCTGGCCCGCCTTCCGTCCCAGCTCGGCCCATATGGCTTCCTTCATCCCTGTTATAATCCTCCCCGGGCCCATTCGGCTCATTGGGCCACGGCTCATGATCATACTCCTGCTCCAAGCCCATCAACTCTTCTTCATCCAAGCCCACGTACTCTGCCATCTTGGCCTTGCCCCGCGCGCGCGCCTTCTCCTGGGCCGAGGGAGTCGGAAGCAGCCCATCTTTGATGGTTGGGCCAAAGGAGACCTGGCCCGCACGCAACCCCAGCCGGTTAGGGTTGGCCGCCGCGCCGCCCTTCTCTCCTCGCCCCTCCGCCGCCGTGTTCGCCGAGGCCCGCGCGGCGCCGTGGTCGCCGGCCGCCTCCACCGACATCGACCCCTCCCCTGGCGCGCCGTCCTCCCCGTGCAACTGGCCGCCGCCGCCAGCTTCGATCCCTGATTTCTTCAGGGCCGCCACCAAGTCACCCACCTGTCCCGCCAGTGCCTTCACAGCTCCTGTCAGAGCATCAAGGGTTTGGCCTTGCTCCCTAGCCCTCTCCTGCAGTTCTCCCAACTCTTCCTCCACCCGCGCCTGTCTCCTCGCCTGCGCCTCCAGATCCCTCCTCAACTCCTCATTGCCGGTCAGATCCTCCACAGCCCCATCGACCCCGTCGTCACCTGCATCGGCGCCCTTGTCACCCGCCTGATTCGCCTTCTCCGCTTTCTCTGCTGCCTTCATGGATTTCGTCGTTACCATCGTTGGTTCTCCGGTTTCTAAGCTGTCCCTGACGGAGTTGGGAAGAACTCTCCGATCGGAACCGGGCTCTGATACCAGATGTTAGAAACAAGGTTTCTAACAGTTGTAGAATTGGGAAATTAGCTAGACCAACTAGGGATTGATCAAGCTAGGGATTAGAATTAGGGAATTTAGGAAGAAGAAAGGGGAAGGATGGCTGCCGATCGGCCAAAGAGAGAGGGAAAGAGAGAGGAAGTTCGGCGCTAGGGAGAGAGAGAGAGAGGGAGAAATTAGGATTTAGGTTTTCTGTAATTGATTGCTTAATGACAAAATAACTCCTACTGCAGATTATATAATCCGCCAAATACCTAACTGCTACCCATATAACGAAAATACCCCAAATGGTCCCCCAATTATCAAAACCGACAATAATACGAAATAATGAAAAGCTGTAAAGTGTTTGTTTCTAACATCGATGTTAGAAACCGATTTATGTAGGGTTTCTTTATTTATTAATATAATTATTATTAGGATAATTATCAATAAGGTTAGTAGTTATTTAGTAGGATTAGGTTTATTATTAGGGTTACCTAGTATTCCCTATAAATATGTACTTTGAGTCTACGTTATGATCAGTCAATAAAGAATTATCAAAGAATTCCCTAAACCCTAATCTCCCTATCTTCCCTATTCTCGATCTCAATCCCTCTAAAGGCCTAGGCCGATTCTCTTCTGTTCTTCCCCAATTCTTTCCCAAATCCCTAATTCTATCCTCTCAATCCCTAAATTCCCAAATATCACCCAAT